GTTTGCGACACGCGCTGTACGCGGTAGACCAATCCAGAGCTAATCTGTCTACAGCTCTGCAATCACAGCAGTGAGGGCTCACGGAACGGAGGGGTTTAGAGAGACTGATTCTTTGAACTGCTTCGCATGACTCGTTTACGAATCATTTAGAAATTAGGTAAAATTAAATCTATTTTTTGAGAAAACTAACGTGTCTTTTGACCTTGCATGCATGTAAACCTGTTTTAGGAGACTCATAAAACAGTATTAGCAACCTTAAAAATGGAATAATAGGGGCACTTTAATGAAATGATACTCTAAATAATAAACTAAAACTGCCAGTAAATGTCTTAATGATTAAGTCATCGAGTCATTTATTCATTCATTTGATTCGTTCAAATGGCTGATTCATTCAGGAGTGAAGTAAATGGTTCTTTATGAATGATCCATTGAATCATTAGGCTTGTTCGACTTGAATCGGTGTGGACATCAAAGTACCGCAAGAGCAATAGAGAACAGACGGCTCCTTACGCTTTTGAATCGCTCTCGCTGGCTTTTGATGTCATACAGTCTGTGCAGCGCTGCTTCAAATCCAACGCGCCTATGGCCAATGAACGCTTTATTTTTCAGTGTAATTAATTAATCTAATTAACGCGTTAAATTACCAGCCTTAATATATATATACATCTGGTTGTATTTTTGTTTGTGACTGGTCACTTTTATGCCTTGGTTCTGCTTGAATATACTGTATAATGACAATGTGAAAATCATCCAGAGGCAAACACTTTTTCAACACTGTATTCACATTAACATGATATCCAGTGTTAATTATTGTACATATCTATGATTTTTGTATATGATGACTTGATATTGGAATTTGTTTGACTTGACAATAATATGCTGAGAGATCACAGCAGGGGATGAAAGTGTTAAAGTGAGCTCATCCCGATTGTTCTGTTGTTTAGGTAATGAAATGGTTCTGGGCGGTGGTGTCATCCTTCACACAGGAAGAATTGGCACGTTTGTTGCAGTTCACCACTGGCTCCTCGCAGCTCCCACCTGGCGGCTTCAATACGCTTTGCCCCTCCTTCCAGATTATAGCAGCTCCCACACACAGCACGCTGCCCACTGCACACACCTGGTGAGCACACACATCAAACAACTTCTTTTTTTCCACAGAAGGACCAAAATCCATTTCCCAAAATTAAATGTGATATACAGTTAGGTCCATATATATATTTGGACAAAGGCACATTTTTTGTTATTTTAGCTGGTGACCAAAACATGTTCAAGTTACAGTTATATAATATGGGCTTAAAGTGCACACTGTGAGCTTTAATTTGAGGGTATTCTCATGAAAATTAGAGGAAAGATTAAGGAATTACAACTCTTTAATATGTACCTCCCCCCTTTTTCAAGGGATCATAAGTAATTGGCCAATTGACTCAAAAGCCATTTCATGGACAGATATGGGCTATTCCAAACCCAGTCTTTGGTGAGTTCCAGACTAAGGCAGCCATTGCATGCAAAGGTTTCTCAACAGAATATTAAAAATGATAATTTTATTTATGATTATATTTATTTGTCCAATTACATTTGAGCCCCTGAAAATGGGGGGACTCTGCATAAAATTGGTTCTATTTCCTAAGCATTTTATGTTATATTTTGTTCAACCCCTTGAATTGAAGCTTAAAGTCTGCGCTTTAATTTCATCTTCATTGTTTCATTTTAATTCTATTCTGGTGGCATACAGAGCCAAAATTATGAAAATTGTGTCAGTGTCCAAATATATATGGGCCTAACTTTAACTATCATTTTCATAAAAATGTAAATTTCAGTTATGTTGTGGTTTTATTACTAATACTCATCTTAAAGGTGACCTATTATGCCCCTGTAAATGCAAATGAGCTGGTGCTTCCAGCCCCCTTTTCAGAAGAGGGCAGAGCTTCAAGAGGGAGTCTATGGACACTCCTATGTTGTTTTGTGCATCCTAAAAAACACAACATTTCTAATGCCTCTTTGGCGCTGACAAGCAGCATCAGCAAGAAAACAAAATGGTGGACTGCTGCTTCTCAATCAGGGCTGTGTTTATGCTAATAAGGTAGAGAGCATCACAAATGGGCGGGACTTTTCCCTAAGATGATGTGTACGTAGGGAGAATCTGGAATTTCTTGTTCTGAGAGACTGTTTATGATTTATTGGGATTATAAAAAAATGAGTGGCTGGATTTTTACCATTATAGGGTGGTTGTGCCACACAACCGTGTTCAAACACCTTATAAAAGTGATTTTTGCATAATAGGTCCCCTTTAGTGATTTTTGCATAATAGGTTTCTGCACTTGTTGCCATTTGATTAGAAAAAATAAAACATTATTTACTTAACAATAACTATCATGATTTTTTTATATAATAAAAATGTTTAAATATACTGTATTAATGTTTCTAGCATTATAAATATAGTTTTGTCGGATGCATCTATGGGTAAAAGTGATATTTTTATATTAGGCTTGCATGTTTAACCCCTCTTTCCACATTGTTCTGTTTTAACCAGTTTTAACCAGCTGTGCCTCCCAACATATGACTCCTACGAGGAGCTCCACAAGCTACTGAAACTGGCCATCAGTGAGGGGAGTGAGGGCTTTGGTATGCTTTGAAACATCAGTCCAGCTCAGGCAGAAACAGAGTTATCTCCAAACCTCCTTTTTTCACGAACATGTCACCACAGTGTACTTTACATTGTACTGTAAAGGAAGGACTTTGATCACAAGATGCCTCTGGGAGGATTCAGGAGTTATGTACATATGTATTTAAAGACTGTTCTACAAGATGAAAATGAGAAGAAAGGCATTTTTCTTTTTTGTTTCCGATAGTTGCCTCTCTTTCTATTTGAGTGCAGACAATTAAATGGCCTACATAAGTGTCAAGATGCTTGTTTTGCATTTGACATAAAGAGAATGTTTTTTTTTTTATGGAACATAGTAGACTAAGGGATGTTGGCAATGACTGCATACCCTCTACACTTGGGCCTTAACTGATCAGGGAAGGTTGTGTATATAACTGCTATTTTATTGTATGCTTTACTTATACAGTGTGTATATTTTCCCTGTTACTTTCATTTGATATTTATGAAAAAGGGACCTTGGACACATTATAGTGTTACCATCTTTTTTTTCATCTTTGGGAATTTCATAAATTATAAATTTGTTTTTGTCCAGAGATGTTCATACTGTTTCAGTTTCAACTATTTTGGGATCAGGCATCCCAGAAACAGTTAAATGTTTGTTTCATATTTCAGATAGCTGACTAGCAGATTTATCAGATGTGCTTTTTGCTCTCTGCTTGAACCCCTTAGTTTTCATTTTGGACATTATTACTGAGCATATGTAGAAAACTAGTTATGATTAGATTTAGCTTAGGATGTCCATTAAAAACATGTAGCTAGTTCTAAAATATTATTACAAAGGCACAAGATCCTACCGCAAAACTACTGATATTCTGAAATCTTTGAGCAACATCTATGCATCATACCAAACAAGTCCCCAAACAACATTTAATAATTGATTTATGATAATTTTTGCTTCTTTTGTACATAACTGATGCTGTTTAAATTTTGTTCTTTTAATGCCGCTACAAAAGTAAAGTCTATTTGTGAGAGGAAAAAAAACAATGCACAATGGCTGACTGTTGAAGAACAATAGTGAAATGTTTTCCACTGTATAGAGCCTGTAGCAATATTCTAGGAGGTCACATGCAAATCTGGAGTGTCCTTTTATGACCACTACAAACCATTTGCAAGGACACAAAATGCTAAAAAATGACTACCTTGATGTTACACTGTGCTATTCTCTCTCTCTCTCTCTCTCTCTCTCTCTCTCTCTCCCCATAATATATATATATATATATATATACACACACACTAGTCAACATTTGAAGTGGATCAAAACCTTTCATCAAAGTTGTCCTAAAACCAAATCAATACCCGTACTTGTCGTAGGACAACTTTGAACTTTTTTGATCCACTTCAAATGTTGACTACTGTATATATAAATACACACACGCTTTCTTTTTTTCCATGATATCCTCTTGGGTTTCATCATTTCTGTGCAGATGGCTACAGTTGATATTTTATTTATGCAACACAATAAAAAACATAAACATATTCATTTATTAATTGTAAATGTCATTAAAAATGTGGAATTGTAATCCAAAGCATAATGTTATGGATTAGCTTCACTACAAAGTAAAATTCCAAATTTAGTCCAGCATTAAGAAAGGCACTATATCAGTAGCCAGAAACAAGACTCTGGGTATCTAAAGGAGGGAAAACAATTGAAGTATAATAAAGAGACATATACCATTAACAATCCTTGCATTTTTGTCTTATTTAGCTCTATATTCAGCCTTGTGTTACTTTATGACTAAACCACAATTTAACGTCTCTTTTATCAGGCTTGTTTATTCATAAAACATTCAATTTGTTTAATTAGGTCTCATTCACTAAGCATGCAGGCACAAATTTGTGCGTAAAATATGCATATGAACATTGTCACTAACTTTTGTACTAAAATTTGCAAAATGACTAAAGCATGCATACGCACAAAATACATACTCTGAGTGAGCTTAACTGTGTTAAGATCAAATTTTATGCAGGGAATTATGATATTTATAAGGAATTTTGACAGAAATCAACTGAATCGGAACGGGCCTTATAACATCTACTGTCCAATGGATGTTATATAGCCTAAAACGTCTCTGGTTACTATCGTAACCTCAACTTCTTTGAGAGCGAGAAAGAGACATTGCGAGAATCACTGTGGGAACTCCTCCCCTTCTCCAATTTCCTGAAACCTAATAGGATAATGCCAGATTGCCAGTTCATTAAACTGGCCAATTATCGCTACTTATGCAAATCGCATGCAAATACTGACAAGCTCGCAGGCAGTATAAATGCAGCGAGAGCGACAATTGCGTCAGAATCTGAGACCGAACGCTGCAGAACCCTCTCAGGAAACCAAGGTTAGACACTAACCAGAGACTTTCTCCATTGAGAGTTCACTCTACATTGCAAGAATCGCTGTGGGAACAATATACAATATTGCCGTGAGAGCAGTGAAGATCAGGGGCCCATTCTTCGTACATCGCTAACTCAGCTGGATTTGATTGTTGACAATTTGGTGTGATCTTGGATTGTTTGGTTCTTCAAAGCTCATCCAGGGGGCCGTTCTTCGTACCTCGCTTGATACATCTGAGATGATTTGAAAGATGCCAGATCTTCTAATCATGATAACTGATCTCAGGCTAAGTTGGTTCTTCAAACGAATTTGCGGACTATCTGGATTAAGTTGTCTAAAGCTGTGTCCCAATTAGGGATGTTCATTTCGGTTATTTTTCCTAACCGACAACCGACACTCGTTAACCGATTATTAACCGGTAACCGACAAGATTATTTTAAATTCAAATTTAATTAAATTAGAAAGGATAAATGTCTGTGAACCGTTAAAAATACTAACATTTGTTTCCCGACAAACCTTTTACAATTCTGATTATCTTTATGACTAAAAGGAGTAGTTGCTTCCACTGTTTGAAGGAAAAAACTCAATTAAGTGATTGTGCCGGCGCCGCATACGCACACAGTTAAGCTTTGCTACCTTGACAATGCAGCCTGTTCATTATCATAATAAA